ATCATAACATATTTATTTACCGGATCTTGAGAAACATCTTATGGGCCGGATAATTTTAATAGTCACATTTGTATAATTAAATAAAGAATATAATACGAAAAAAATATTTTATGATCAAAAATATTTTATACGAGGCAACAAAAGCCTTTATTAATTAAGGTTGTTAAAGAATTCCGAGTGAATTTCAAAGAGCCAATCAAATCCGTTGGGATGTATTTTGGGTCTCATAAGAAAGCTCCTTCAATCGTACTCCCCCCAATCGTTACTCATTCAAACGAAGTTAAATTCCTTAGCACAATCGGAACATTGCCTTTCCCAGATCAAATAGAAGTGAAAATTCCCAGTGCATGTATGTACCACGCCCCCTCCATTACGCCGCCCCCGCATTTTGCGCAGATGCCACAGCCCTCGGCTAACTGTACACACATTTGTCGCATCGCAGCGGCAGCAACAACAAGTTAAAGCATAACAACATATTTTACAATTACGAAACAATTCGGCCCACAACTAAATACAGAAACCTCAGGCAATCGCAGCTCTTCAGCCAAACTGACTGAACAATGGACAAAAAATAGAAAAAATAGAAAACAAATACAACAAAATAGAAGAAAAATGTAGGAAAATCTGAAGCAGAGCTCGTAAAGATCAGCAGACGAATAGGCGTAGACGCCAGACCAAGAACCGTGTCTCCAAAACGCGGCCTACTGGGGCGGCATGCCAGCACTCACACACTCGCACCGATTGTGGCCAGAACGAAACCAGATCAAAAGCCTATAGCCTATAGCAATAATTATGAAAACACTCCGTGTCGCGGCGTCGTCGTCATCGACGTAATTTTCCTGTTCGTGCCTTAATAATCTGCGCAAACGGCGGCCGCATATTGAAATTCCCCACAGTAATAATAACAATAATCGCGCGGCAGCAACATCTATTAAAATATCGATGGAGCGACTGACTGACTGACTCTGTGACTCCCTGACTGACTTTGGTTTTTTGGTTGCTTTTTTGGCTGGTGAAGCGATCAAAAGTCGCTAAAAGCAAACGCACACTGACGGCGTTATTATTGATTTAAACATCAAGATAAATTACACCGGTTCCCCGCTAACCATCCGAACCTCAAACTCCCTCATGTTGGAACCTTTAGGAACTCTAGCTGAAACCCTGGCTGGAACTGAAGATTATACACTGGGAAAACAAAGCATACACTAGAATTAAAATTAAATCTATTCTTAATAACGTTTTTTGTGCAAACTATTTATTTTCAAATATTTAAGATTAACAACATACAAATTTACAAAAGTAAAAGAAAATATTTAAAATGTACAAGTTCGAAATATAAAATGATCTAACCCTGTTCTTGTTTCTATATAAAACAATTTAAAAATGTTAATCATCCAATTTAAAAATCGAATATTTTAAATTAAAATTTTGTTTGTAATCTGATCAACAAAAAATGGACACTAAAAAATTGAATGAAAAAACTTTACAATATGTATATCGAGTTTATTATATTGAAGAATAAATACAAACTTTTATGTCTTTACCCTTGAATGAATGAATTTATAAGTATTTTTTGAACTTGCAGCGTTAGGAAGAAATAAAACCAAAATTAAATTAAAATGCCTAGCTGTTTTTCCCAGTGCACTTTTGAGGCACCACATTGGATCTCTTTTTGGCCACTAACGAAGTTTCCTTTGGCCTGCGTTGTTTTTGTTGCTGTTTCGTTATTGTTGTAATTGTGGGTAATTGTTGTTGCCGTTGTACTGGCTGTGGTTGTTGTTTTTGGTGTTTTGGGCGCTACAAATTTCCAAACCCACTAGGCACATTTGAACTGGCGCACGATCGCAAAAAAAAACCGAACCGAAAATCCAATGAACGGAGCAGCAATTGTAACATCAACATGAGATGTGCCCTGGCTCCAAAAAGGAGCAACGTGCCCGAAGATGCAGAAAGAGATGGGCATAGCTGGATAGAAAGAGATGGGCTGGGAAGAGGTGGGAGAGGGATAGGGAGTTAGCTTGTGCCCGGGTCTTTTGCTACTTTGACTTGTCGCTCGTTCCAAAACGTCGAATGCGTCTAATTTCTTGGCTTGCTTTTGGCTCTTTTTGTGCCTATTTCTTTTTTTCGGGGTTTTTTTCTGTCCATTGCCTGGGTGAGCAGGGGGAGTTCTCGGTGGATGTCGTGCCACGGTCTCCAAAGTCTGGCTCCAAAGTCTTGCGATCCATTCGCCAACGTCTGCTCGCCGGCTGCCGCGTTTGTCGTTTAAATCGTACCACCACAGGCGACATAAAAATAATGAAGTGTGCGGGTGTGGTCGACTCGCTTTTGGCCAGGTCTGGTCTTCAGTCCTCAGTCCTCAGTCTACGGTCTACAGTCTTGGCTCTTTGCTCTGAACCTGGCTGGGCCTGGATTTCAGTCCGATTCGGAGACTGACTGGCCGATCGGGGCGACTGTCGACTGTCGAACGCTGCTACGTTTGCAGATTGCCGAGTCGTGTTTAGCCCAGCGGTGCGGTGTCTGCGGCCCATAACCAAATCAACATTTCGCGGGAGTAAAGGTTTTGGTCGGGGATCCCTTTTTGGGAGTTTTCGAGGGGAAATGGCAGCCTTAGTTGGCAGAAATGAGGTTGAAGAAGAGTAATTTGAATTTGGTTAACAAGGCATTAGGCGTTGTTAAACCAAATATTAGTTTAATATAAGAATAGAAGCGTTTGATAAATGTTATATATAATTTTTCACAGCGAATTTATTAGATAAAAAGAAAATCAAGAAAATTAGGGGACGAAAGTTATAAATATCTAATGAATTTCGTTTATGTAAAAATATATTAAAATATTAAAGAAATAATAAAAAAAACACTGATTTAATTTTAAACAATAATTTTGCCACATTAAAACCGATTTGTTCTCCTTTTACCTTTTAATTTTTACTCTATAACGATTGTTTTCAACGAAATTATAATCAAATATTTCTGCTGCAAATGCTTGCTGGGTAATTTGCTGAACACACGCCCAACCAACTGCAAAAATATAACGGTATCCAAGGTTGTGCTACGCTTAAAATGTAATTGTTCGACTTAAAGAGCCAGAGCAACAACATCGGGCAACAGCAAAAACAACAAACAGAAACAGCAACAACAACAAACAGAAACAGCAGCAACAACAGCAACGCGATCAAGTTTGCCGCCGTCGCCTTTTGCCGTCTAATCAAATACCAGACCAAGACCCAACGAAAAACACCAGAGACCGAGACTCTGAGCTACCCACCTATTCTGCCTCGGATACGTAGCGATATCCCATAACCACGAGATGCAAATATGCAGAGAAAATAATATGAATCAAATTGATCATCAATTCGACACTTTATCACATCCAAATAGTTCCCATCTTAAGTTTTAATAATGTTCTAAGTAAAAACGATGAATATTTGGTTAAAAATACAGATATAGAAAAAAAAACCAAATCTAGATCATAATTTTTGAAATAGATACGCGCAAAAAAAACACGCTGGGATCAAATCAACATGCGCATGGTAAATTTCTGGAATTTATACCATGTAAATATATATTCACCATGTAAATAATATAATTTTGACGAATCAGCGTGCAAAAAGCAAGTCCTTATAATTACGTGATTATTGTTTCATATCAATTTTTGTTTTTGTGTACTAAAATATAGGTATCACAGTTAACTTATTCTCTGTATATACGAACTATTTTAAAGGGCTAACATTAATCCACTTACATTGACTAGCTCTTAAATATTTTATAACAACACATATATATTTTTTAAAAATAGTATAACAACTACTGACTCATCTCGATAATAAATACTTCCGATACCATGATTTTTTCGAAGTGTCGATGCCTGGCATGCATGCATGGGCAGAGAGACCAACCAACACATGGTCGGATCCAGATTCAGATTCAAATCCAAGCTCAACGTCATCGAAGCGCCGCACTCTGGAGGACTCTGCGCAGCGGGTCTTTGGGGCTGGGGCGAAATTTTCACTTGAATATTCGACACACTTTGAGCCCGGGCTCACACAGCTGGATGTCGGCAAAGGTTTTCAGGATTTTCAGATTCAGGGAGGGGCGCCACAGCGCTTGGCTGTCTCAGCGATTCTTGGGGCTATGCATCATCATCATCATCAGCATCAGCATCGGCGGAGCCGGCGTCGAAGTTGGAGCTGCAACATGGCAACATGTTGCAATCTGCCAGCTCTGCATGCATAAAATATTATGCAACATTATGCCACAGACACAGGCCAGACGACACTCTTGGTTTTATTTCTATTTTCATTTTTTTGTTGTTTTTTAATCCCCTCTCCCAGTTTGTTGTGGGTTATTAGTGCCTGGATGTTGACAGCGTTTAGATCTAATTGAATCGCCCGGATCGCAGATTTTTGGGGCGGCCGTTTTTTGTTTTTGGGGCCCATAGAACATTTGGCTTGGCCCGCTCCCATTTGGCCCATAACCCATAAATCTAACACACCGGCGCAAGAGATTTATAGAGTTCAGATTGCGAAATGCGCAGAAGCACAGCGCTCGGAAAATCTTGAAAAATTAAAATGACTAGTGCCGGGGCACGATCAAGACCGAGCTGCCGTCTTGGAAGACAATGGCAACTCCGGAGGAGATGGAAAACCAAAAGCGAAACCTCAGCGGTAGTCAGCATTGGGGCGTCTGCAGTTCAACGTTCAAGTGGCACAGTACGCCCTAGAAAAATGAATTGATTCGATTGTTTTTCGCCGCAACTCGGGCTCCTCAACTTTATCTGCGAGTGCTGAGCGGAAAATATCTGAAAATGAACGAAAGAAAATCAGAGGCAGAGAGCGCGCCCCGAAAAGTACTGATGATACAATCGCGTTTTTGACTTTGAAAAGTCAGCTTCGAGTCAGCCAGGCTATTGTTCAATGGCCCAACTGCAGCAGCAGCGGCAGCAGCAGCAGCAGCCGACACTGATTGTTATGGTTTATGAGATGAAAATGCACTCGAAACAATATTCTGGGGCCAATGCAATTTGCGATTTTTAATCAACTCCTCTCGGCAGCAGGCAGCACTCAACAGCAGAAGAAATCATCGTATTTGGCCCCTGATTGCAGCTTCCACTTCGAGAATCGTGGCTCCGTCATCTGGCTTTTGATCTTCTCCCCGTCCCCAAGATCTTTCCCTTGGCTCTTGGCCAGCAGCCACTCGACCATCGCCTGAAGACCAGTCTCTGCGCCCTCCAGTTCGCCGCCCACTTTGCGGCCACAGTGCGTATGCGCGATGTAGCCACACACTCCCAGCTCTGTGGCTTTTTGGGCCACAATTGGCAAGAGGGCCGCAGCGGTATCTTCGGGTACACGCATTTCGTAGGTTATTAGGTATACCTTCTCCGGCTCAGACTGGGGCACCAGTTCCAGCGACATTTTTGTGAATTCAGGTTGGGATTTTTGAAATTTGAAGGGTAATGAAAATAAGACACTCTGATGATTCAAGTGTTATCTGTTAAATAATATAAATAACTATACAGTTATAAAACAAATATTCCAAAATATTCAACCCAGGACTGTGAACCATTCCGGAACAGAGTTACGGTTCAAAGCATTTCGAATAGAATATTTTTCGTATTTGAACCGAATCCGAACCGGATATATTATGTATTAAATCATCTTTGGTTTATGAAAAATGATACTTTTTCCGTGGTATTTTCTACCAATTGATAAACACTATTACTATTATAGCTTCCAAAAACTTATTGCGTGGTTCACGTGTAATTAAATACAGTATTATTATAGTTATAATACTCATACTGTGCGTTTTCCTTCATTTTTTTATTTTAAAACATACAAAGAAACCAAAACGACAGTCACATTTAAATTAAGCAAGCAGAACAAATACCATTTTACACAAACCAAAATTGTTACACTTAAATATTTTAATACTTTACCATATTTTATACACGATTTTTGCACTATAAAAACCAAGACAACAATGACTAATAATATTCCCAAAAATTGGACATTTGACAAGAATACTCGCTTCACGATTGAGTTTCAGCTTCGCAACATACTGCCAGGTAATGATTTTCGAGTTCGAATAGTCCATCGCTGCCGAAGAAAAGAGATAAACGGATATATAATATTCACCGACGACGGACAACGAGCTTTTGGGTTGATGGATGGAACACGGAAAGATTTAAACAGTATGAAGGACTGGATCTTGAGTTCCTGCATTCCGGAGCCCTTTGCCCATCGAGTCCATTTCTCTTTCTTTGAGTTGAGCTTCAGTCCGAACAAAGAGCCTTTTCATGTAAAATATTCCGTCCCCAAAAACGCTAAATTCCTGGGAGATGTGTACGAGAATTACTTTCGGAAGACCAAGTTCGATAAAAAACCTAAAGTGGAAAGGGAAGAACTCGGTGAATATGCGGATTTCTATAGCCCTCAGTTGCTTAACGATATTGAATCGGAATTAGACTCGGAAAACTATGATTACGAAACCTCAATGCCCGAGGATGATTCCAGCGAGTCATTTCTCTGAGTGTAGATGCGACTCGTGCTGTCCATTGTTCAACACTATTTGCGCTGCTCAATCTCTTAATTAAATATGCGACTAACTGGCAGCTCGAAGGCAGTCGAAGAGTGGCCCAGACATCGTCGTTTAGTGTCGAAATTGTGCAAGTTTTGATTTTCCTTTTGTTGTTATGGAAGTCGCTGGTTTTTTTCTTCGGCTTGGTTTTCTTGGTCTCTTGCTGCTGGATAATCACAGGCCCGGCGAACAGACGGCAGAAATTAAATCAGCCAAGGTTATCGCATTAATAAGCCCCCTGGTTTGGGCTTTACAGTTTTCTGAGCTAGTCAATTATTAAATTTGCAATTTCCGTAGCTGAACTTTTGGGGTCAGTAGACTGATTTAAATCAAAACCGTAATTGAGCATTGCCCGCGAGCAAGAACCAATCGCACCAAAGCCAAATACCAACCTCCGGGCAGGAAAATTGACAAATGTTTGATCGCCACTTCTTAGATTTCTTGTTTCACATACTCAGTTTTCAGTTTTCAGCGGATGTGGGAAGGCTGTGAATCCGATTCAGAAAAGTTAAAGAAAAAAATACAAATCGAAAACTCCCAGCTAAGTGGCTTTCCATGACATTTTACTGACACTCTTGCCGTTGAACTGGAAGACCTGTTTTCCCTCTTAGCGCAACTTAACACATTTGACGAAGATGTCTATGCCAGCAAATGACGTGTCATCAATGGAGCCCGCACTCCCACATAAAGATGCACAGCGTCCTCAACTCGATCTCGAGCCCCAGCCACAAATCCCCGGCACTTGAGTCGAGAGATCTGTTGGGGCTGTTGTATTAATAAGCCTGACATTTGAGCAGAGCATCCACTCGAAGCCATCGAGTTTCGGTTTTGCGTGTAGGCGTCTGAAAATAATAATTAAAAAATCGTTTCTAATGCGGAAATCTCGCGTTTTGGGCTGGGGTGAGCTTAATGCCGAAGATGTTAGACAAATATATCAGATTTCGGTTTTTTTCTCTGTCGCGCACTTCGGTTAATCTTCAGCGGAGGATTGTGGGGGGAAAGGCAAATGGTGACATGGGTAAAGATGGATCGATGGAGAAGCAATTGAATAGCAGTGACTGTAGCTGTAAATTGTGGAATTATATAAAAAAACCCTTAGGAAGTGATGGGTGTTGCTTTATATTTTTAATTTACAACCTCGACTAATCAGATAAATAAAATATATTCAAAGCTTTAATTAAAATACGTACGAATTTGTATTTACTTACTTTAAGGAAGTTAACTTTTTTTTCTATTTTTTTTTAAATAGAATGGCTTACAAAAACGTTGTAAAATTAATTAATAAAAATTAATATGATTACAAGTTAACGGAAGTGCTTTGTGGTCAATTGCTGTGTTTTTAAATATCTTACATTCCATAGCTATTATAAGTCCGTAAATTGTTAAGTCTAATAATCAATCTGATGTGAATGCTGTTAGCAGAAGGTGTTCTCCTCTAAATATTATTTAAAACCATTCGTACACAGCACTTAATCCAGTTTAATAGTTAACAATTAAACGAGTTTTTACAAAGAGAGATGGACACGGATTCGTCATCAGATATTAAGGCCAATAGGTTGGTCATGGGGCTGGGCTGTGGCCAAAAGCATTAGGCCAAGTGTCCCGGCCCGCCCAAGAATTCAAAGGCCTGGCCCCCGAATAATTAAATATGTAAGAGGCAAGCGCCCAAGTTAATAACAGCTGCTACCACAGAAGCCTTTTGCCGGCCAAACGCTGAAAATTTAATAATCGCCTGCGAGTATAAAGCAGCCAAATCCATTCAGGGGCCCAGATACAGATACAGATGCAGGCCCGGGCCCAGATGCAATATATTTTATATATACCTACTAGTACAATATACTCGAATGCAGGCTCTGCGAGAAGGTCAGACCCCGCACGTTTCATGGCTCATAGCGCTCCTATCGTATAATTAGAAACGAACGACGACAACACGACGACAAACAACGGCCACAGTTCGCCTTCGTATCCGTATCTATACCTCTGAATGTATCTGTATCTGGAAAACAGGGGAACCCAGCGGGAACATTCCTCTGGAAAATAACATATTTTCAAGAGGTTTCTCCATACAAGCGGAAGGGACAAAACCTCATTCACCCCTTACATTTCTTCCGTCTCTGGTTTCAAAATACACGGGGGTGACACAAAAAGTAAGGGGGGAATGAGGTTTCTATGTGGTTTTCCTTGGGAATTTACATTTTCCCTACACCGTCGCCTGCTGAAAGAAACAGGATTTCCAACACTTTCTGCTAAAAGGAACAGGATTTTCAGCACACAAAGAACCACCTTCTTACTTTCCCGGTGGGAAGGTCTCTGGATACGCAGCAAACGATTCTCAAATGAGCCAATTGTGGAATGCTCGGCGCTGTGAGTGTGTGTATGCTTTGTCTGTTTGTTTACATTAAGAGTGCCAGAGATCTGCAGAAACCGATAGCTCGTGTTTAACAAGAATAGAACAGTCATGAAAGATTTGACGTAAAAGAGTTCCTGGGTGATTTTAATTTTAGGTCACCTTACCCAATTGTATTTTTTCCAAACGACAAAAGTAATTGATGTCTTTAGATGCTGAAGGTTTATGAGCACTGGTTCGCATAACTGTGCATATACATATGAAAAAGAATTTAAATAGCACTGCCAATATCAAGAATTGCGATTCCAAAATCAATTTTTGTTTTGACCATTCATTTGGTCATTATTATGAGGTTTTAATATAGCAATCCGCTTGAAGGCTTTAATTTAAGGACCCCCAAAAATTGCATTCTCAAAATGTTAAAGTTTTTTGGGAAAACTTGTGTTAAACAAGAAAGGAAGCTACCTTCGGCCAGCCGAAGCTTATATACCCTTGCAGATAAAAGAATGCTCACTCCGTGCAGTTCCAGGGATTCCAGATTCAGCGTTTCTATTTATTTAAATTTTGTTTTTAAGTAGTCAAGAATCAAAACGCCTACTTCCTACAAAGTTACAATGAATTTTCTTATATTTGTTTAAATATTCCTATGGGAGCCCTAAGATATAGTGGTCCGATCCGGCTCGCTCCGACATATGTACTACCTGCAATAGAAAGAAGACTTTCGGGAAAGTTTCATCGCGATAGAAACGGACAGACGGACAGACGGACAGACGGACAGACGGACAGACAGACAGACGGACAGACGGACATGGCTAAATGGACTCGGCTATTGATGCTGATCAAGAATATATATACTTTATGTGGTCGGAAACGTCTCCTTGTTTGCGTTGCAAACATCTGACTGAAATTATAATACCCTCTACAAGGGTATAAAAATGTCCAAAATTTTTTTCTTCTGTTTTTTATCTAGGGTCCAGGAACTACCATTATCCTCCTTGGTGTATTTAAAAAAAATTATTTTGTAAAGAAGTGTTATACAAGGCCCGATAAAAGTTAGCTTTTCAACTGAGGGTACATTAAGCTTAGGGGAATATTTGTCTCTGTAAGTATTCTTTTCTTTTATGTAATTGTTCTTTAACTGGCTTTAGTATCGAACTCTGGCTACCAATAAAATTAGTTTAGTCAAAAATTAGTTGATAAGGACCCTGCCGATAAATGAATAAAATAAAAATGAATAAATAAAAATGAATAAATAAACCAAAATTGCATTACCAATTGTTTTTTCTTACTTTTCCATTAAAGTTAAAAGTGTTGGGGGCCATAAAGATAGCCATGTTTGTTACGGCTCGTCTCCTTGCCTCCATTCCGCATTCCTAGCAGATAGCCACCCAACTGAATCTCCTATGGTGGAGCACGCTCTCCACTTTAAAAGCCCAGTGGTGCAATGTGGAACCGACAACGATGGTGGTCACTGGCGCATTTACATGGTCCCGACCTCCATCCACGGGAAAAAATGGTCTACTAATTTAAGTTTCACAAGCCCAAATCGTAAATAAAGAATTTTAATTTCTTTTTGTTATTATTATATAAAAATATTTTATTAATTATTATTACAAATCTGCATTGACTTGATTTGCAGTAATTTCTTTAATAATTTTGTAAAGTAAATAAAGTATTTAGGGCAATTATTATAAAGGTTGAACAGGAACAGTACAACCAATATTACAATGTAAATACTTATTAAAGTGCCTAGGATGTATTTCCCCATGTGTACGATGCCATAGCCCGATGTGCCATGCGATGGTCGCCGGCCGATCGACCGGCCATGCAAAGTCTCTCGGAAATAGTGGATCGGACGGGGGGCACTACGAGTATATGGGGGATCGGATCGGGGCACTACGAGCGCTCTGATACGTCGACAACATTGCCGGGGAGCGCTTCGTTATATGCTCACTTTCGATGTGTTTCATTTTTTCTTTCGTTTTCATTCGCTGTGCGATTTGAAAACGTTTAAACAAAAAAACTCGCCAGCGGCAACAGCAACAACAACAACAACATCGGCGGTCCAAAGGCGGGCGGGTCTTCCACACACACAGGTACACAATACACACACTGACACACCTGCAACAAGTATACGAAAAATAAATGTTTACGATCGCTTCATGTTGTTGTTTCTTTTTTTTCCGTTGCGGGCCAATTATGTGCAGCAGCTGCCGTTGAAGGGTTAAAGGGGGCGAAAAGGGGACAGCGGTGGGGGCGCCGAGGTGTTAAAGCTCTCCTAAACGCTCCTAAATTTTTTTTGCTTTGGCTCATTTTGCTGCTCGATTTTCGCTTTTATTATTTCTCCGGCTTTTTTGTCGCAGTTCGCATAAATTTATCAAATTGTTTATTTGGCTTTACTGTTGTCTCGTTTAGTTAAAAGGTATAAGCCATAAACTAAACGTTTATTTAGCCATTTAACAGCGGCACTCTGCTTGTGTATTTGCTTATGGCTAATTATTGTATATGAACAATTTAATTATGCATAATCTCCATGGCATCGTGCCTGACTTATGGGAATCGACTGGCCTTATGCTAATTTCCTGTATGTATGGCTCCCAATCGGAGCTAAGCGGTGTTTATAAATATGTTGGTATTTATGTACCTGCTCGGCTGTCAATGGTGTAGCGATTCCCGGGGCAAAGTTAATCAGGAAATTCTTCACTCCATAGAACATGATTTGTGTGTTGACAAGGTT